GACAGAGGATGGTGAGCAGCTTGGGAGGAGGGAGAAGAGCCCTGGAGCAGGGGACCGGGACAAGGGCTTCCTCACTTGTGGGACTTCTTGGTGTTGGCCCCGTCAGGGCCCTCGCCACAGTCGTAGGCCTGGATGGTGAAGGTGTGCTCCTTCTGGGCCTCACAGTCCACTGGCTCCTTGGCCCGGATCAGCCCTTCTCCCGTCGCCTTGTCCAGGATCACAGCCTCAAAGGGCACCCCAGACCCATGGAGCCGGAAGCCACAGATCTCACCTGGCAGAGGGGGAGGGAGGGATGAGGCTCCTGCAACCACCTCCAGCGTCTCCTTCCCAGCCTCAGCCTCCCCACCTCGGGTTCCCGCTTCACCTCTTCTCCCAAACCCCGTCAGTTCTCCTGTACATGTGACAGCAATAAGTATCAAACATAGAGCTCCAATCCCAGCTTCCCTGAGCAGCAACCTCTCAGAGCCACCAGGTCTGAGATCTGGCAAAATCTTGATGTGTTTAACCCCTGCCTGGCCACGTACCTCTCTCCCGCTCCCTTTACTCAACCACCATTCTTCAATGGAGCCCATTCTCCTCCTTGAGCCTACTTCTTCCATTTTCCCAAGGTCTCTTCCCCATTTCCTCATTGCTCTCCCTCCCAGGACCTCCCCTCTCCTCCCTTGCCCTCTGTCCTACCCACCTTGCCATGTCCCGACCCCAATTACCTGCATAGCGCAGGGGGGCGTCCTTGTCCAAGGCGAAGAGTGGCGGGTTCAGCAGGACTGTGTTGTCATTCTCCATGACGATGCCCTGGTATTCTGCTTCGATCCATGGCTTGTGCTTGTTGGCTGATGCCCCAGGGAGAGGAGAGGAAGCACTTGTGAGCTGGTACTCTACTCCCACACTACCCTTGTTGACCCAAACCGCCACCAGCATCATCCCCCTTTCCACCCCTGCTGAAGCACCTGCAGGAGGAAGGGCTGAGGACAATAAATCAGTTATTAAAGGAGTCAGAGGGTCTGACTGGGAGGTCACAGCCTTCTCCTACGGCAGGATAGACAGCTTCCATGGCAACAGCCTGCCCTGGGGGGAGGGGGACCACTATCTCCCCTGGGAAACATGGTCAAAGGGTGGAGAATTTTCTTTAGGGATTTCAGGTGCTGGAGAGTGGAGAGTGGGGATGCAGGGAGCAGGACTGGGCCATCAGAAGGCCCTGGGAAAGGGAAGGGATAGATTAAGGGCAGAGTTGAGATTAGGAAAAGAGGAAATCTAGAAGTTTCCTGAGATCCTGATTGTTTATCCTCTCTACCACCACCACCACACCATTTCAGTCCTGATACCTTCACTCTACACTCCCAGCCAAACCCCAACCTAAGGCCATTCTTCCAGAGGTGAGAGGAGAGAAGAGAAAATATATAGGACAGAGGGAGGGGGACAGAGAGGGGCAGGGATGGAGCCGAGGAATCAATGCCAAATGACTGGATCCAGCAGAGCCGACATCCTAAGGGATTATCGAACTGGCCTAGAAACAAATCCCCTCCCTGCTTCTCACCCCCACACCCAAGAGAACACACTCATAACTCATGACATTTCTATGTCCCCCACAAGGCCACCAATCCCCACACTCCCTGAATCCCACATTTTATACAGACTTATGCCTTAGTCCTAATTCTTGCCTACCCCACCACTCTTCCCTTCAACAACCAGCCAATCCAGGATGGATGTGGGACTCATTCAGCCTCCAGATCTCCCCATCTCCTACCAGACTCGGCTCAAATGTGTCTCCTCCCCAGGACCAATCTCCCACTAGTCTGGTGAGGGGCTATGAGAAAGGCGAAGAATGTTCCCTTCCCTTTCCACATCACCTCTCAGCCCCAATCTCCACTGCTTGCTCTATCTAATCCCATTATGCCAACCCCCAGGCTCTCAGAGCACATTCACGATGGCCCACCAGAAGGACATCAGCAGAGAAAGACGGATCATCAGAGGGAAACTGAGTTATCAAAAGGAAATTCATCCCAGTATCTCATACTGAGCAAGAAATCCTGATTTCCATTCTTTCCTCCAACACCCTCCAAAAAGCCTTTGGTACCTGAACACCTGCCCCTGTCTTGCAGATGACCAGCACGACCACCTCTCTAATGGCAGAGGAGAGAGCCACAAGATGGTGCTCAGCAGGCAGCACAGGAAGTGGCAGGAGGCTGAGAAACCGGGCTGAGGACGGAGATTGAGGTGAGGAGCCACAGCCCAAGGATGGAGGGGCTGCGCACAGCAAGGCTGGCACTGGGCACCCTCTGCACAGCTCACCTCTCCAACCCTGCCCCTCTCCCTGGTCTCCTCGCTCCTCTCCTCTTGGCCACCCAGTCAACTCTCTCCTTGTGTCCATCTCCTTTCACTCACTCCTGTCTCTTCCTTCCTCGACTCTCCCCCTCCCCCTCTCCTCACCTGTTCTTCCTGATTTCCCTTTCACTCCTCTCTCTTTTTTTGCCTCCACCTTTACCCTCTTCCATCCCCTTCTTATCCCCCTCCTTTGCCTCATCTCCCTTCTCCTCCTTATCACTCATTTAGCACCCCCACATACCCACTTCTGCCCTTTCCTGCCTTTCTCCACCTACCTGAGCCCTCTTCCCTCACTCCCTCCCTCCCTCTTGGTCCCTCTCATGGCCTCACCCAGCTGAATTTGTCTGCTGTCTGCCAGAGAGCGCAGTTCTGGTAACGCACAGCCGAGCTGGATGCAGGCGTAAGGGTATGGATGCAGAGGAACACGCCAAAACATACGTGCTCCGAATTGCTGAACTGCAAGGAATAGTTTTTCCCCAGGATGGGATGGAGATGAACCAGATGGATCTGCCACACACCCTTAGAGCAGGCACACCCCACTGAAACGGAGAACCACCCAGAGATGTATATTGCCCCTCAGGGGCAAGTCCTTGTGAGACCTGAGACATCTCCAGCAGGGAGAAATTGGGGAAGAAAGAGACAGAGATCCCAGGATGGGAATGGGGACCAAATGGGAGCAAGAGAAGCACATGGGTAGAGATGGACCAGAGAGGAGGATGTGGCAAAGGGGGTGTGAGGGAGAGGAGAGGGGGCAGGTCTGAAAAAACGATGGGAAGGGGGATGGGCAGAAGAACCGACACCTGTCATGTACTAGAGAGCCTCCACGGCTCCTGCCCACCATACCCCTCCTCGATCTGCCTGATACCCCTCTTTCAGTGCCCCCCCCCCCCCCGCCCCCCCCCCCCCCCCCCCCCCCCCCCCCCCCGCCTCACTCACCTTTGTTACAGGAACTGGAGGGGAGCAGGGAGGCCAGCAAGAGGGGCAACAGCAGGAGGGTCATGATGTGGTGTGGGGCAGGGCAGGGCCAGGCGATCGGTCTCCCCTGGGAACCTCAAGCCCGCTTATTCCACCTTGGGGGAGGGATTCAGAGGATCTCCAAGGAGGGGAGGGAGGACAGCGGGCAGCAGAGCAGGGACAGAAAGGGGCCTGCCGCCCACACTAGTCCATAGAGCAGACCTGGGAAGGCCCCAAACTGGGTGGCCGAGGTGGGGGACTTGCAGTGGTGTTTCTTCTCGTTGGCTCTCGAGCCCCGCGTCCTCACTCTCTCTCTCTCATTCCCACCCCATCCCCGCTACTGCAGGATGACGTCAGCACAGCCAGGCGAGGATTGATGGGGCCATTGGCCAATCGAATGACGGTGGGGGCCAGGTGCTGCAGGGGGGGAGGGAACCAATGGGACTGGGGAGCAGGGGCGGGAGAATGTGTTAGGGCTTCTTCCCCTCACTGCAATTTGGGGGAGCAAGGGGACTGCGGGGGCTGAGGAGGAAGCTGGAAAGCCATAGAGGGAGTAGGAAATAAGAGGGACATTGGGAGAATCGAGAAGCCAGAAGCCCGGGGGTGGGGCAGGGAGACGTCAGCGGAGACCTGAGGGAGGCGAGGAGCGGCAGTATCCGCGTCACCCCCTACGACACCTCCAACTCTGCATTAACCTCTTTTCACAGCCCAGTCTATCAGCACGTCCCTGCTGCGTGCCTCCCGGGAACCTGAAGTACACCGCTCAGCCTGCACCTGAGAGATCCTAGCGTTTCAGTTCCCAGCCCCAGGTCTCGGAGGAAACCATAGGATTGGTCAGCAGAGGATGGAAAGGGTTCTGGGGCTGGAGGAAGAGTGAGGTGTTTGTGCCCTCACTCCCCTCACACACACACCTGTAGGGACAGTTCACCACCGGGCAGAATTTTTCCCACTGCCTAACCTCCCTGCCTACCCCTCCCCAAATCTCCCACCTTAAACCATGAGGAACCAACCCAGTGGTTCTGAAGCCAGGGAAGTTGGTAGGTCTCAGAGGGAGAGGGGGAGGGTAGTTAGAGGTGGGCTACACAATAATTCAGGCAGACTCCCCCATGGGAATACTTCTGGTAAGCGTGGGCTGTCCAAGGGCTGGGGACTGGGTGCGATGGATCATCAGTGACTCCAGAGAGAGAGGGAAACCCCTGGATCCCAATCCAAAAAGCATAAATTCTCCGGAAGAGCCAACCAAACTCCTCCCTCACCTGCTCTGGACTTTGAACTCAACACCTCATCAGGCTGCGGACAGCCCCCTCTGTGCATGGGAAGAGCAGTTTCTCTGCTCCCTCCTAATGGCCCTATAGGCCAGAGTCTGGAACGCCAGAATTGGGGCTCCAGCTCATGAAGCCGTCTGAGGGAGCTGTGGAGCCCTCGCTATAGGATTTCCTCCACTGTGGCTCCCCAGCCAGCTGGCTGTCCCCATTCCGTCACCACCTCCTCCCGCCTCATACCTTTCAGGATCACTGACTCAGTCTCAGGATCCCAGGCTATAGCTAGCACTCACCTCTGGGTGAGCCTAGAAGAGCCTCCACTGCACACAACAAGACTAGCTCCCTCCCAGGGGAGACTGCTGCCCCTCAGGGCTCTGGGATGATTCCCAAGCCTGCCAGAAACGTGTGGGAAGCCAAAACTGACCTTCGGAAAAGCTCGTCTTGGATAACTGACAGCCCCCAGATCCTGCTCCAGGTTCCTTCCTCAGGAAAAGCCAAGGTCAGGCAAAACCTTGCCAAGTCTCTGCCCCTCCCTCAGGCTGCAGACAGCAGCCCCAAACTCATAGGGGGAGGGAGGAAGTCTGGAAGGAACTCTTATTGCAACAGAGCCCCAGCCCTATAAAAACCCTGGAACACAGACCTTTACACAGCTTGTCTGTGTGTGTGTGGAGGCCAGCCTGGAGTCTTTCGGCCTCACCTGCCAGACAACGTCTCTGCCTCCTCACTGTCTCCTGTATTCTCCTGAAATCCCGATCTCCATCTTGGCCAGCCCAGACAATGCCTCCCAACCTCACCGGCTACTACCGCTTTGTCTCACAGAAGAACATGGAGGACTATCTGCAAGCCCTAAGTAATGGCCTCACCCCTCCCAGACCCCTTTCACTCCCCTTCTTCCCTCTCCCTCCCTGTCTCTCTGTCCCCTTGGGAGGGGGAATGCCGGGGTTGGACACTATGGACAGGCTCAGGTGCTGGCACCCGTCTTGGAATCCATCTGTAGCCCGGGGCATTGCTAGGAGGGAGTAAATCCACCTTCTGAGACCCAGCTGAGGGAAAGCCCACAGCCCAGAGGAGCAGGTGGCTAAGAGGACCCTTGCTAAGAGATAGCCCCCACAGATATCAGCATGCCTCTGCGGAAGATAGCGCTGCTGCTCAAGCCAGACAAGGAGATTGACCATCAGGGCAACCACATGATAGTGAAGACCCTCAGCACCTTCCGCAACTACGTTCTGGAGTTCGAGGTGGGAGTCGAGTTTGAGGAGGACCTAAGCATCATGGATGGACGAAAATGCCAGGTACCTTTCCTCAGACTTGCGGGGAGGGGGTGTGGATGAGCAGGTGGCTCTCAACAAATGGAGGCACAACTAAGTGACCTCTTCCAGCCAGAGCTAGGGAAATGGTCACCACAGCAGGCTGCATAATCCCCAGGATAACAGGCTCCTGGTGCTCCCCCCACACTCTCTCCTACTTCTTCCCTGCCCCCTCTTATCACCAGCCAAAAGGACAAAAAGAGCAGGTCACCCTCAGGCCAATGAGCAAACATTTGCTCACCCTCTACCCTGTGACCCTGTTGGTCAATGCAGAGTCTCTTTTCCCTTAGCCTCTATAACTCCACTTTCCTACATTTCTTTCTGTTTCTTACATCTTCCTTTTGGCCTCCTTTGCAGACCCTAGTTCCCCGATTAAGCCCTTAAACTGGGGTTTTTCCCCCAGTATTTTGTTCTTGACTTGCTCTCTCTTGTCTGTACACTATCCATGAGCTAAATCATCCACAGCCCTGCTTTCGGCTTCCATCTATAGACCGCCCTAGATATGTAGCCTCCAGCCAGGGCTACCTCCTGAGCTGCAGGGGGAAGTTTTCAAATGCCTGCAAAATGTTTCCATCTGCATGCCCCAAATTCATTATCTTCCTCCCCAAACCTACTCCTGCTTTTATATTTACTGTCTCTTTTAATGGCAATAACCAGCCAGGTCAGGGACCTGAGAGTCAATATATCGTGCTCCCTTACCTTTGTGCCTCCAACACACACAGACACGCACACACGCACTAAATTGATGCACCACATCCATTTCGTCAAGAAGTTTTTATAACTTGTCTGTACTGTCCAATATAGTAGCTACCAGCCATATATAGCTATTGAACACTCGAAATGTAACTAGTCCAAATTGAGATGTGCTATGAGTGTAAATACACACTGGATTTTTAAGGCAAAGCGAAAAAATAATGTAAGACATCTCAGAAATTTTTACATTAATTACATGCTGAAATTATAATATTTTGGGTGTTTTAGGTTAAATAAAATATATTATTAAAATTAATTTCACCTGTTTCTTTTTACTTTTCTAATGCAGCTACTAGAAATCTTTCAATTATGTATGTGGTGGGCATTTATGACCCATTATATTTCTACTGAACCTCGCTGTTGCTTCCTAGCCTTTCTCACTATCACAACATTAATCAGGCCCTCATTTCTCACCTGATGCCTGAAATTGGCCCCCGGTCTTAACCCTCCTCTAATCCATTCTGCATACTGTAGACACAAGGGTCTATCTAAAATGTAAAAGTGACCATGTCACTCCCTGACTCAAACCCTTTCAGTGACAATGTTACATTCCAGATAAGGTGCATGGCTTACTAGGGTCTTTCCCACTTCACTCTAGGTTAGAGCCCCTCACAACTATGTGCCCTTCTTTCTTACCTCTATGCCGTTTCTTTCCTTGCTAGAAACTTCCCATTATCTCCAATCTAACTAACTCTTCACTTCCTTGAAGACTCAGCTCTTCCCTCCCTACTCCCATCCCCAACACTCTTGCCTGGTATCATAGATACCTATCTACTGCTCCTCTATCTGAGCAAGGTCTGAGCTCCTTGTTTAGCAGGGCCTGTCCTATGGGAGAGCTCAGCAAATGTTGCCTGGAATGCCCAGGGCCGCTCAGCTCTGATTCGGGAGGTTGATCCTTCATTTTCAGGGACACTTCAGCTGTCCTTGAAATGAGAAAGAAGACAAAAAAGATTCCCTGGTGGGACTCCAGCCAATCTCTCTTCTTTCCCAAAGGCCCCTCCAGGTCAACCAGAAGTATCAGGAAGACAAAATCTCTGTTCTTCATCACCCACTCCCCAAATTTCACCCCCAGTTATCCTGCTCCATCCCTGCTCTGCCCCAGTGGTCACTGTAGACAAACTGGGGGACGGGGGGGGGGGGGGGGGGGGGGGGGGGGGGGGCTCTCAGTGGCCTTTAGGAGTCGGGGAGGGGAGTCCTCTCACTCAAAATGAAGGGGCTGGAAGCAAGAGAAAGATAATCTGTGTATGACTCCACTCATATGAGGAATTTTAAACTATGGACCAAGAACAGTTTAGTGGATACCAGGGGAAAGGTGGGGTGGGGGGTGGGCACAAAGGGTGAAGTGGTGCACCTACAACATGACTGACAAACATTAATGTACAATTGAAATTTCACAAGACTGTAACCTATCAATAACTCAATAAAAAAAAACTGAAAAAAAAAAAAATGAAGGGGCTGGAGGAAGACAGCATCTGCTGTGGTGTGAAAGGAGGCAGCCCAGCCAGAGTGAGTTGGATGCATTTTGGGTATCCTGCCCCCCAATCTTCCTTTATTCCTGCTTTCCCTATAGACCATAGTAACCTGGGAGGAGGAGCAGCTGGTATGTGTGCAGAAAGGGGAGGTCCCCAACCGGGGCTGGAGACACTGGCTGGAGGGAGAGAACCTATATCTGGTAAGCTGAGGGAGGGCTGGGGGAGGAGACGCAAACGGGTGTGTCTGGGAAAGAGACCTCCAGCCAGGATTCATCCCCTTGCCCAAATCAAATAAGTCTACTACTCCACCCCCAGCTCCCCCTCCAAGGAAGGAAACCAAGGAGGAAAACAAAAGCACTGGGAAGAGTGGAGAGAGGCAGAACTAGAGTGGCCAAGGTGGGCCCTGGCTACAAGTCAGATGACGGTCCATAAATCATGACTGGAGAGATGGAGACTTGGCCATTTCACAGTCCCTGACCCAGCTACCTTCCTTCCTCTGGGGTGAAAAGTTGAAGGTTTGGAACAATGATACAACTCCCCATATATCAAGTGCTCTAGCTGGTGTATCCTGAAGGATTAAATGGAGGTCAAGGACCTTGAGAAAGGAGCTCCTGCTGGCAAGAACCTCCTTCTCTCTCCTCATTATTCCTCCTCTATCCCCAGGAACTGACTGCAAGGGACGCAGTTTGTGAGCAGGTCTTCAGGAAGGTCAAGTAGCCGGAGTGGAGCTGAGGGCCCCTCCAGACCGCACTGGTCCCCAGACTCCTTGCTTGTGCCTCTTCAAGCCCAGACTGTCCCAGGTCAGCAGTCCCTTTCTCAGGCCACTTACTCTCCCTCTGGGTCCCTCCTCACCCCTCCCCATGTTAATCTATGACTTGCAGCCCCCAGGCCAAAGTCCTTCTTTCTCACACTCCACTGCCCAATAGTGACCTCATATCCAATTCTAGGTCTGAACTCCTGGATGAAAGAAACAGGCAAAGGGGGAAGGGCCCTTGACAGTATCTGATCTCAACTCTCTTTAGTTCATCTGGCCTCTTATTTTCCATCTAAGAAAGAACTAAGCTCTGAGCATTTGGGAACTAGTGGAAACTCTATCCTCGTGGGCCTTTTGGAAAACTGTAACCGGGATTCAAGAATTTAAACAGGAGCTACTGCTGGAGACTTTTTGTCCATTTCCTTGTCCTTATTCTCAAGAAAGCCCCATGTGCTCAACAGAACCAGGCCCAAGGCATGGCCCCATCTACACATCCGAATACATCCTGGCTATCTTATAATCCCATCCTACGTACTGAGGAAGAGGGACGCGACAGGGCGAGACCTTTGCCCCGGACTGAGAGAAGCTGGGAGCCTTCTAAAGAGTCACCAGGCCTCCATGTCTGCTTTAGGAAGGACAGGCATGAGGAAGGCCAGAAAAGACTGAAAAGGAAGCAGATGCAGGATACAAGGCCAAGGGCTAGAAAGGTGAGGGACATGGGAGTGTGAAAGCAACAGTAAGAAGACCAGCAGGGCCTGGCTATAGGGACCCTCTGCTTAACGGCCAGCAAGGCTGGGGACAGAGGATAAGGGGGAGAACTGAGCACCACAAGGGCCCTCCCTGAGGGTCCAAGAATCACCATCCAGGAAAACAGCCCAGAGGGTGGAGCCAGTTCAGGGTCAGGGCCAGTGCCAGCCTCCTGCCAGCCTCCTACCTCTGGGGCCTTGGTTCTTTCAGAATAAAAGTCCTGTGGGGCAAGAGTCAGAGAGAGAGGGCTCAGTGTGGGGTGGGGACAGAGCCTGGCTGGATGTGTGTGGGGGAGTGTTGGAAAGTCCCTGGCCTGTGCTCGTTAGATGACACCCCTCTTCCTACAATGGCTAGGCCCCCTACACATTCAAACAGTCCCTGGGGCTCTGGCCAAGAAGAGCTAGGCTTGCAACACAGATCCTACCACACACACTGGAAAAGAAAAAGAAAAGAATTCAGAGTGGAACTGAATAGCTTATTTCCTGCCCAGCCTCTCTGCAGATGTCCCCAGCAGAGTGGGGAGTGGAGAGGCCTCCTCTGAGCAGAGCCACCCAGCAGAAGCTCCAAGGGCTGCTGGAGCAGCCTTGTTCTTTCCAGGGTACAGTGAAGCTGAAGGATCATGCTCCATATATACTCACCCATTGCCTAAGTCATCAGATCAACGCAGTGTCCTGGCCACCCTGAGTGCACAGCGCACGTCCAAGCCTCTCTCCACAGAACTGTCCTCTGGGCTCTTCATGTTGGCCCAGTGCCCCTCGCTGGAGTCTGATCAGAGGGCCTGACCCAGGAGGTTGGAGGCCTCCTTGTTGACTGTCAGGCCCAAGCTAAAGCAGCTTCAATCCCCCCAAACTCCTGTGATATGAGCCTCCACACCATCCACACTGCAGGTCCACATCCTCCACTTACCCCTCCAGGAGCCAGAATCCAACAAGAGGCCTGGAGACCCCCGAAAAGAGCACAAGCAACCAGAGGAGGACCCAGCAGCTTCAGAGGCATCTCCAAGGGGTGGCTGCCAGGACCTACTGAGACCGTGGGAAGCTGGGGCTGCTGTTTCCCCTGTGGGCAGCAGGGGGCGCTGCTCACTGCAGTGGGAGCCAGAGATCCGCTAAATTTAATCCTCCCTCTGACAGCTTCTTGTATATTCCATTCCCCACAACATATGCACACGCAAGCACACACACACACACACACACACACACACATACCAGTTCCCAGCTCGCATATTCACCCTGACAAGACCTCTACAACTCGTTCAAATCAGGCTGCTCCATCCATCCTCAGATGGAATAGATGGTCACCAGGGCCACCAACCTGTAAGTGAAGAAAAGGCAGGGGAGAGGACAACAGCCAAGTGTGGGTGGTCTCATCCTTGGGGCACACAAAGTTTTGAGTCCCAGGACCAACTTTTACTTTGTTGCCCAGTGTCTTAGGCCCCAGGGAGATGATCAGGAATCCAAAATGTTTATTTCCATGTGAGATGGAATAACTGCCCCCTTGTAAGCCAGCCCCATGCTAGGCCCCTGCTCCACTCCCACTCCGCCAGGCCCAGATGGCACCATCTCATCACAAACAACCTTCTAGCCTGAATGCCAAATGATTCTTTAGCCTTGATCCTGTAGGTCAGTCCAGATCCCTCTGCTCAGGAGAAACTGACTGATGTAGCTGACGTAGGTTTGCATGGAGGGCAGAAAGAAGCAAAGACGGTAAGCAAACCCTCTGAGGCTTGCAGTGCAAGCAGTGGCCCTGCTTGACCAGGGGCCAGAACCAGCACCCACGAGGCCCTCCTCCTCCTCCCCTAGATCTCAGCCAGAAGGATGGCTCTGGGCCAGCTCTGTGGCCCTGTGGGCACCTGTGCTCCACAGTGAATACCCACCCTCACCAGAGGCCATTTAGGTTCCAGCGGCGTGAGATGGAGCTGACCTCCCACGTTCACCCTTCCAGCAAGAAAAGGGGACCTCTGTCTTCTCAAGGACTTCCTGGCCCACCATCTATCTGGGGGTGAGCCTCCTGCCTCCCCGCATCCACCTAGTCCCAAGTCTCACTCCCCTCTGCCCTCACTTTTGTTCCGGCCACTAAGGAGAGGGGCAGCCCTAGGAGCCTCTGTTCTGTTCCCCGTGGGCAGTGCCCAACCAGAGGGTCGCCAGCATAACCAGGCCATTGAGTTAATGGATAAATCACTTGCCTCAGAGACACCAGATGAACCTAAAGTGGCACCCAAATTGGGAGAAACTATTCCACAGTGTCAGGTGAACGGGCTCTGCTGTCAAACTGCCACCTCTTACTAGCTGTGTGAGCATATACAAGCCACCAACCTTCAGTAAATAAGCCACATTTGCCGGTCGTACAAGGCAATGCAAGAGTACTTCCTTCCTCCTAGGAATTTTGTGAAGATTCTGTGTAAGATCACTCAGCATAGTACCTGGAAAAGAGTAAGCACTGGGCAATGTTAGCTATTTTTACCTTTAGTATCCCCTACCTCTTCGCTTGATGATTGACATTCTCTCAACCAGAAGCAAAGCCTTGCATCTACAGTTAAGGAGAAGGCATCACTGCCCACAGCCCTGAGGTCGCAAGGTGGCTTCTATTTATACCAAAGTGTGAGACACTGATACCAGAGATTTAGGGACAGTATAGCCCTCACTTTGGGGGTCCAGGCAGGTAACCCATCTGGGGATGATGGGGTGGGGGGCATTGTTGCCTCCCCTGGGCCTCCCTCACTGCATCCTATAGTCCCCTCACCCCCATGAGAAGGAGTGCACCATCCCAGCCAGCGCCGCCCTCGGAGCCTGTGCCAGCATCTGGGCGGCTGCTGCTTCTGCTCCTGCCAGCTGGGCTATGAGCTGTGGAGTGACAGGCACCCTTGCCTTCCCACCAGCAGAGAGAAGGCTTCAGGGCAGGGGAGAGAGAGCCAATGGTGGCAGCTGCCCAGCCCCAGCGCCACTGCAGCGGCAGCTGTACACAGAGCCATGGGCTCCACCCCCACCCCCAAGTCCCTCTTGGGCTCCTTCCCCAGATTACACACTGAAGCTGCACCATTCAAGGGGCTGGACCCCCAGGGCAGGGGCTCTGTCCAGGCCCTGGACTCCTCCAGTCACCAGTTGCAGGTGCAGCCACTGTCCCTTGACCCTCCTGTCTCCTTATCTTCTTCCCAATGGGTACCCAAACCAGCCAGCACCCTCACCCCTGCCTGGAGGGTTTTTTCTCATACTTTCCTCTTGTCTGAGAGGCCTCCACCACCGCCCCCCCCCCCCCCCCCCCCGCCCCTGATCCCTTCAGCATATCCCCTGTCATCATTGACCTAGGCCGGGGGACAAGGCAGAGCTGAAGCACTGATGAGAAGTCACTGCCGCTACCTCACTGTGTGATCTTGGGCAAATTACTTCACTTCTCTGTGCCTTTGTTTCCTGACAGGACCAGTCTGTTCAGCTTGATGGTCTTTCACTGATCTACTCTCTTGCCTTCCACATCGGCCCCTCCCCTGGGATTGCTCTCTCCTTCCCAGTGTTTTCAGAAAAGCCTTGCTCCCTGTCCTTGATCCAGCTGTGAGGAAACCATTATCATCTTTAATGTAACCAAAACCTATCCTGCGAGGTCCCCAGTGGAAGGAGAAGCCCAACGCAAAAGGGCAGCTGGATGGAAAAGCACCCTCTTCTGGAGGGGGCTCCCCTAACCACCGCTGCCACTCACCACTCCGTTCTGCTTCCCCCTCACTCCTTTCTTTCTGAGTAGCACAGATGAGACAAGGGTGCATCGTTTGAATAGGGGTTTATTAAAGTCTTGGAGGAAACAAAGGGAACTGGAACAGAGAGTAATACCCAAGTCCCTTATCTGAGGTGCAAACGCAGCCTCACCCCATAAACTCCTTATTGTCAAAGGAAGGGCTGGCGCAGGTTGCAGCAGAGCTGCTGTACATGCACGGTATGTTCAAAGAGTTCTTTACTAAAGGACTTTATTTCAGCCTTGAAAGTCCACATAAAGGCCTGGGGTGTGGGAGATTTGGAACTGGAATCTCCAGCCTCTGAACTTGCCCTTTGGACAATCTGCTGTGGTGTGTGGGGCCATAGTCCTAGATTCTTGGGACTCACACTATGGTTATCCTCCCCTAGGTTGGAAAGGACATTCTATCTGGGGTTTCTCCTTCCTGCCCAACCCCTCTCCTTTTCAACAATTTCTTGGTCTTTTTTAACCATTTGTTATCCTCCTAAAGCCCCACATCCTCTGTGTTTGGTCTCCTGTGGGTCATATCTTGATCTATCCAGTCCCAATACTTAATGGGGGTGAATGAAGGGGGCCTTCAGATCTTAAGGTGGAGGAGGAGAGGGCAAGAGCCCCCAAAGGCACTCTAGCTTCAGGTTAGTGTGTCTGAAATACAACCATACCTAGCAAAAATGACATCCTGCTAACTGATCTTCTGCATTTATTGTTCTAAAATATGTCTACTTTTGTGATAGCCAGCCTCCAAGATGGCCCCCAGTGATCCCTGCTTCCTGGCATTCCCATCCTTGTGCCGTCTCCTCCCACATTGTATCAGGACTGGTCTACGTGGCCGATAGAATATGGCAGAAGTGATCCTAGGTCACTTCCGGGCTGGGTTATAAAAGACATGTTGGATTTTCTGTACAATGTTGTGCCTATAGCTAACAATTCTGTATCGTACACTTAAAATTTTGTTAAGAGGGTAGATCTCATGTTAAGTGTTCTTATCACAGTAAAATAAAAACTTTCTAAAAAAGACATTTTGGCCTCTGTCTTGCTCTTTCTATCTTGGATCATTCTAGGGAAAGCCAGCTGCCATGTCATGGGGACAGTCAAGTGTCCTGTGAAGAGGGCCATGTGGCAAGGAACTGAGGCCTCCTGCCCACAGCCACGTGAGTGAGCAAAATTGGAAGCAGACCCCCCGGCCCCAGGCAAACCTTCAGATAACTGCAGCTTTGGCCAACACCTTGACTGAAGCCTTGTGAGAGACCCTGAGCCAAAACCACCCATCTAAGCTGCTTCTGGATTCCTGACCCCAAAAAACTATGTCAAATGACTCACATTTGCCATTTTAAACTGCTAAGTATGCAAGTAATTTATTACACAACAGATAACTAACACATATTTTCAACTATGAATTTCATCACAAATGACCCTCATCCTAGCACCATAGCCTAAATATTTGCCAAGCCCTCAAAAAGATGGGGGCAGGTGACTTAAGACAGTAAAAACCTGTCCAGCCACAAAAAGGTATGGTTCTACACTCAGTGTCGTAGGCCCTTCCATCCTAGCTCTAAGCCCAGATACCATCTGAGCACCCTGCACCAGGGGCCCACATCTCAGCAACTGCCCTTCTAAAAGTCTAAACAGAGTGAAGTTCAGAGAGCGGCAGGCGCTCCCTTTCCTTCCTCTCTAAGGTCTACCTGCTAGAGCACTGTCTGAAAACCCACCTCTTCCCTAGGTAATTGTTAAAAAGAATGTCCAGCATCTTCAGGTGATGTCCAACTCCTTTTGCAGGTGTGTGACCTTATCTCATGGCTTCAATAAGACAAACACGGCAGAATTTGCTGCCCAGACATTAGAGAGAGTGCATATCCAGAGGCAGGGAGGATATCTTAGATAGCATCAGATCTTTGCTGGTGGTAGCTGATTGACACATTCTTTGGACAACAGAGCAGCAGGGTCCTGAAGACCAGCAGCAATGAGGGGAAGATGGTGTCCAGACATACAAGGCAGGGAAGAGCCACATCTGGACGGTCGTTTATACGTCACAGAGTAGGAATCTCTGCGGTCCTCCCCAACCCTCCAGGGCCAGCACAGCGATCCTGGAGCCAGAGATTTCTTTGCTGAAAAGAGGGAGAGTGAGATAGAGAAACACAAATGGAAGAAGGCTTTGTGCAGAGGCCATCACATGCAGCCAAATCTGATGATTGGAAAGAGGAGGACACCAGGGAAGGTGTTATCATGGCTCTCTGTCCCACTATGCTTTCCCCAATAGTCATAGACTATGGGCAGCCCCCCGGCCTGCCACACAGTAGCTTCTGCTGTCACCCAAGAGAAGCAGAATGCTCACCAGGCCAAGATCTTCTACCAGCGCCTGAAGCCCTATTTCCAAATGAAGACCAGAGTGGGTAGTAGCCAGGGACCCCAGGTGAGGACCAGCCGAACCCTCTTAAGGACACCTGCCACTCACAAACCTGATCTCGCCAACAAAGAGCAAGGTACCCAACAGTGAGGAGCAGGGTCACATGACAATGGCCAGAACTCTCACTAGATGGGGCAGAGCTGCGCTGGGAGTGACCTTCGCTCCTTCACCCTCTAGCTCAGGAAAACAGGAAGGAGGCTTAACCACCCCGTCTCAGACCATCTGCCTCCACTGCCAACACAGTACCTGGACACACTTGACTACATGTGTCTTCCTCCCTGGGCACCTTCCTTGAAAACTCCAATATGTGGTGCATACTCTTCCTCTTTTCCCCATCCCATGAGCTCATCCCACAGATACAGGTAGATACCTCCATGTGCCAGGCACCATGCTCAGTCCTGGGGATATTGGACCTAAAGAACAGTCTCCCTCAAGGAACCCACAGTCTTATGAGAAAGACAGCTAAGGGAACGAGTAGTTATCATACAGCAAGGTAAGTGCTAGCATGCTGATAAGCACAGGGAAAGTAATCTAACCCTGAGGGAAGGAGGGCTTCCCAAAGGAGGGGACACATGAGGAGAGAAGTAATAATAATGGCTGGCATCCATACCATGATTACTACATGCCAGACATTTACTCCTCAACTCTTTTACTCCTCTCAAGAATCCTATGACATATTATTATCCCCATTTTACAGATAAGGAAACTGTGTTGTCAGGATTCTCCAAAGAAACAGAACCAATTTATATTCACGTGTGTGTGTGTGTGTGTGTGTGTAGAGAGACAGAGAGAGATTTAGCATAAGGTATTGGCTCAAGCAATTATGGAGGCTGAGAAGCCCCACGACCTGCCATCTGCCAGCTAGAGACCCAGGAAAGCTGGCAGTGTAATTCTAGGCCAAGTTCTAAAGGCTGAGGTCCAGGGGAGCCGAAGGTGTAAACCCCAGAGCAAGGGCAGAAGATGTTCCAGGCAATCCTCTCTTCCTCTGCTCTTTGTTCTATTCAGGCCCTCAATGGATTGAGTGATGCCGACCCACACCGGGGAGGGCCATCTTCTTTACTCAGTCCACCAATTCAAATGTTAATCTTTTCTGGAAACACTTTCAGAGACACACCAAAAAATAATGGTTAACAAGCTATTTGGGCATCCCTTGGTCTAGTCAAGTTAACATGTAAAATTAACCATCCCAGAAACTAAGAACAGAGCATTTAAGTAACTTGCCAAAGGTCACAGATCAAATACAAGGCAGAACCAGGATTCGAACTGAAACAGATTAGCTCTAGAGAAGCCCGACCACCTAACCCGGGGTTTTTGAATCTCAGCGCTACGAACATTTTGCCAGATCCTTTTTCATTGTGGGAGGTGCTCTCTTGTGCATTGTAGCATGCTTAGCAGCATCCCTGGCCTCTATCCACTAGATGCCGGTAGCATCCTGCCAGCTGTTGAAAACAATCTCCAGAGGTTGTCAAATATCCCCTGGAGAGAAAAATTGCTCTTGGTGGAGGACCACGGACCTAACTATTTTGCTATTCTGCCTCTCTAAGCAAGTAGTGATGTTTATTGAGTGTTTATCAAATGCCCAGCACTCATCCAAGGAATTTTAGTTATTAACTCATTTGATCCTCAGAAGAACCCTATGGGAGTGTGTACCACTGTCCTCATCCTTCTTCTACAGAAGAGGATGTTTACAGGCACAGAGAAATCACAGAATCCGGTCATGGTCACAAAGCTCCTCTTGGCAGCGCCTGGGTTTGAACCTGGTGAATCTGGCTCAGCAGCCCACCTTCCTGATGAATAAGAGGCATAAATTGCAAGAGAAGCAAAAAGCTTATTCGAGGTCTCAAGAATTGCAATTTGGGGAACACAGACTCAGGTAGAAATCCAAATAGTGTCCCGCTAGGGAGTAAAAGTCAAGGGCTTTTAAAGGCAAAGAAGGGAGGTTGTATTACAAAAAATGTTAATTGGAGTTGGAGGCAGAGAGCTGGTCTTGGCTAAACAATGATTGACTATTGATTCTATCTTCAGAAAGTCCACAATCCTCAGTCTTTGTGATCAGGGTGTCCATTGTCCTGCTGACTTCTCAAACAATTGCTTGTAAAACAGTTGCTGTTTTTGGCCCGGTCCAGAGGTTTTGCCCAGACCCAGATTCGAGAGGGCAAGGCGGTTTCTCTGGGAAGGCAGCTCTGACTCCATTTTAACATGGCTGCACTAAAGACAATTTTGACGTTTCTCCCTTTTTTTTTTTTTTGAGGAAGATTAGCCCTGAGATACCATCTGCCACCAATCTTCCTCTTTTTGCTGAGGAAGACTGGCCCTGAGCTAACATCTATGACCATCTTCCTCTACTTTATATGTGGGATGCCCGCCACAGCATGGCTTGACAAGCGGTGCATAGGTCCACACCGGGGATCCAAACTGGCAAACCCTGGGCTGCCGAAGCGGAGCATGTGAACTTAACTTCTGCGCCACTGGGCTGGCCCCAACATTTCCCTCTTTTGATCAAGCTCTTTCTTTGAAAGCATCACTGATCAACAATTTGAAAGCATTGCTGGTCGACTATTGGAAAGCCATCAAAGCATCGTTGGTCCCTCGTCAGCAGGAAGGTTCATTCCCAGGATGTCATGTTCTACGTAGGAATGAAAGTGGTTTTCTTAAGAACCTTAGGCCACATTTGAGCGACAAGAGTGCCAGAGCAGAGAAAAGCCTTACCATGAAGTTCCTTTAAGGGCAAACATTGTCTGTAGTCCCTCAAAATTTCTCAGGTGAAGGCTCATAAGCTGTAGCCATCATTTTAAAGTGCTAAGTGACCATCATCCAAGTGGTGTTTTTATAACATCAAGCTATGTAGACAGACAAAGTTTACAACAGTGAAAATTCCTATAATAATAAACAAAATGCTAAGTCCAAATCAGAGACTATATTAGATAGAATAGAATAATAGAACACATGAACTAGGAGGCCATTCTTGGGGATAACCAGCTAAAGAGATAAAGAACCATGCAGTGTCAGTGGGCACAGCATTTAACCATTCACCTTGTGCTCAGATTTTGTCTAGTTCAGCTTCTACTTCACCAGAGGTATTTATCCAGGTACAACAAGAGGTGTTTATCACAGAACAAACCCACCTTGTTCAGCTGGGGGTAATTAAGAGCAATTCTATTATCTAATATTGCTCGTACGAGGAATCCAAAGATTGATCTCAGGCAGTGATTGTTTTAATGGCAGATTTAGCAATATCCCCCAGGGTTTTAGATAAATTTCTGATCAAATATTCATTCATGACGGTGCCTACCCAAGGAAAAAGTATTTTTCCAAATCTAGTAGCTTTGCTGGGGTTGATACTATCAGGCACTAAACACCCTTGATTATGCATGCAACTAGCTTCACATTTCAGTCTGTCAAGTAGATTCAAAGATGATGCCCAGTGCT